GGCTCGCACCGTTGTGTCCGGGGGTCCAGCTCCCGCCCTTCTGCGTGGCCACCGTTGCTGCAGCCCTGACGGAGTGTGGTATCCGGAGAGGAGAGGCCCTGCTTGGTGCTCGGCATTCTCAGAAGTTTGAAGATTATCATAATTATTTTGCAAAACGAGCTTCAGTTACTTTGTCCAGCTCTCGGTTTGTGAACTTGGCTCAGAATGGCGTTGCGTTTATGGATTAAGTAGGGGCACCGACACCGTCACCCTAGTGGAGGCTTCCATCCCAGGAACAAAGTAGGTCGCATTTTTAAAAAATTCATCTTTATTGTTGAAATTACAGATGTTCCCTTTTTCCCGCCATTGATCCCCTTTACCCCGCATCCACCCCACCCCCAGACCTTCCCCATACCAATGTCTGTATCCATAGGTTATGCATATATGCATTTAAGTTCTTTGATTAATCTCTGCCCATCCACTCCCGCACCCCCGCCTTCCCTCTGAGATCCTTCAGTCTGTTCCGTGCTTCTGTGTCTCCGGATCTATTTTGTTCATTAGTTCCACGTGTAAGTGAGATCATGTGAGGCTTGTCTTTCTCTGACTGGCTTATTTCACTTAGCATAATTTTCTCCAGGTCCCTCCATGCTGTCCCAAAGGGTAGGAGATCCTTCTTCTTTACAGCTGCATAGTATTTCATGGTGTGAATGTCCCACAGGTTTTTATCCACTCATCTGCTGATGGACACGTGGGCTGTTTCTAGATGGTGGTTAGTGTAAATTGCACTGCTATGAACATAGGAGTGGATATATTCTTTCTGATTAGTGTTTTGGGTTTCTTAGGATATATTTATAGAGTGGATCACTGCGTCAAATGGGAGGTCAATTTTTAATCTTTTGAAGAAACTCCGTACTGTTTTCCACAGTGGCTGCACCAGTCTACATTCCCACCAGCAGTGCACTAGGGTTCCCTTTTCTCCACACCCTCGCCAGCATTTGTGGTTTGTTGATTTGTTGATGGAGCCATTCTGACAGGTGTGAAGTGATACTTCATTGCGGTTTTAATTTGCATTTCTCTGATAGTGACCTTGAGCATTTTTACATATGTCTCTTGGCCATCTGTATGCCCTCTTGGAGAAGTGTCCATTTAGGTCCTTTGCCCATTTTTTAATTGGATTGTTTGTCTTCCTTTTGTTAAGTTGTATGAGTTCCTTATGTATTTTGGATATTAACCCTTTATCAGATGTGTCATTGGCAAATATGTTCTCCCACACAGTGGGCTCCCTTTTTGTTTTGTTGATGGTTTCTTTGCTGGGCAGAGCTTTTTATTTTGATGTACAGTGGTACCTTGGTTTCCTAATGTAATCCTTTCCGGAAGACCATTTGAGTTTTGAAACGTCCGAAAACCAAGGAATCAGCAGCTGACAGGTAGGCCTCAGGATCTTGCCCTCAGCGGAATCTGTGTGGCATGTTTGACTTTCAAGGCGTGTTTGAAAACTGAAGCGTTAACTTCTGGGTTTACAGCGTTCATCAACGGAGATGTTCAAAAACCGAGGTACCACTGTAGTCCCATTTGTTTAACTTCTTTGTTTCTCTTGCCCTAGGAGATGTATCGGTAAACATATTGCTATGAGAGATGTCTGAGATTTTGCTGCCTACATTTTCTTCTAGGATTTTTACAGTTTCAACGTCTTACATTTAAGTCTTTTATCCATTTTAAGTTTATTTTTGTGTATGGTGTAAGTTGATCTAGTTTCATTATTTTGCATGTACCTGTCCAGTTTTCCGAACACCATTTATTGAACAGACTGTACTCCGTTGTATGTTCTTGTCTCCTTTATCAAATATTAATTGAGTGTAATGGCTGGGTAGACTTTTGGGTTCTCTGCTCTGTTCCACTGATCTATGTCTGTTCTTGTGCCAGTACCAGGCTGTTTTGATTACAGTGGCTTTGATATCTGGTATTGTGATCCCTTCAGCTTTGTTCTTCTTTCTCAAGATTTCCGTGGCTATTCGGGGTCTTTTTTGGTTCCATATAAATAAATAAATAAATAAATATTTATTTATTTATTTATTTATTTACTTAAATATATCTTTATTGATTTCAGAGAGAGGAAAGGAGAGGGAGAGAGAGAGAGATAGAAACATCAGTGATGAGAGAGTCATTGATCGGCTGTCTCCTGCACGCCCCCCACTTGGGATCGAGCCCGCAACCTGGGCATGTGCCCTGACTGGGAATCCAACCCTGATTGCCTGGATCCTAGGTCGACGCTCAACTGCTGAGCCATGCCCGGCCGGGCCATATAAATTTTTGTGTGTTTTGTTTTGTTTTGTTTTTAAAATATATCTTTATTGATTTCAGAGAGGGGAAAGGAGAGGCAGAGAGAGAGATAGAAACATCAATGATGAGAGAGTCATTGATCGAGCCCACAACCCGGGCATGTGCCCTGACTAGGAATCGAACCGATTGCCTGGATCCTAGGTCAATGCTCAACCGCTGAGCCACGCCCGGCCGGGCCATATAAATTTTTGAAGTGTTTGTTCTAGATCTGTGAAATGTGCTGTTGGTATTTTAATAGGGATTGCATTGAATTTATAGATTGCTTTGGGTAGTATGGACATTTTAATGTTAATTCTTCCAATCCATGAATATGGTTTATTCTTCTACTTGTTTCTATCTTCCTCTATCTCTTTTTGCAAAGTCCTGTATTTTTCTGGGTGCAGGTCTTTTACCTTCTTGGTTAAGTTTATTCCTAAGTATTTTAATTTTTTTGTTGCAACAGTAAATGGGATATTCTTTTTAGTTTCTCTTTCTGAGAGTACATTATTGGTGTATAAAAATGCCATCAATTTTTGGTGTTAATTTTGTATTCTGCTACTTTGCCAAATTCATGTATTAAATCTAGTAGTTTTTTGGTGGAGTCATTAGGGTTTTCTATGTGCAATATCATGTCATCTGCAAATAGTGACAGTTTTATTTCCTCCCTTCCAATTTGGATGCCTTTGATGTTTTCTTCTTGTCTGATTGCTGTGGCTGGGACTTCCAGTACTATGTTGAATAAGAGTGGTGAAAGTGGACACCCCTGTCTTGTTCCTGTTCTTAGGGGAAATGCTTTTAGTTTTTGCCCATTGAGTATGATGTTGGCTGTAGGTTTGTCTGTCATATATTGCCTTTATTATGTTGAGGTATGATCCCTCTATCCCCACTTTGCTGATAGTTTTTATCAAAGACAGGTGTTGGATTTTGTCAGATTCTTTTTCTGTGTCTATTGATATGATCATGTGATTTTTGTCTTTCAGTTTGTTTATGTAATATATCACATTTGTTGATTTGTGAATATTGTGCCGGCCTTGCATCCCTGGAATAAATCCCACTTGGTCATGGTGTGTGATCTTTTTAACATATTGCTGGATCCAATTTGCTAATATTTTGTTGAGGATTTTTAACATCTATGTTCATCAGGGATATTGGCCTGTAATTCTCTTTCTTTGTAGTGTCTTTATCTGGTTTTCAACTTAGGCTAATGCTGGCCTCATAAAAAGAGCGTGGAAGTGTTCCTTCCTCTTGGATTTTTTGGAATAGTTTGAAGAGGACAGGTGTTAGTTCTTCTTTGAATGTTTGGTAAAACTCCCCTGTGAAGCTGTCTGGACCAGGGCTTTTGTTTGCTGGGAGTTTTGCTTTTTGGTTGGTTGTTTGTTTTTTAAATTTATCTTTATTGTTCAGAGTATTACAGGTGTCCCATCCCCCCCCCAATTGACCCCCTCCACTTCGCTCCCACCCCCTTCTCAGGCCTTCACCCCGTTATTAACTGTGTCCATGGGTTATGCATATAATTTCTTTGGTTAGTCTTTTCCCACCCTCCACCCCCCTTCCCTCTTTCCTCTGAAATATGATCGTCTGTTGCATGTGTCAATGTCCCTGGATCTATTTAGTTCGTCAGATTCTTTTGTTCATTAGTTTATTCTTAAAGAAGACCCTTTAACTTTTCCTGTAGTGCTGGTCTGGTGGTGATGAACTCCTTTAGCTTTTTCTTATCTGTGAAGCTCTTTGTTTGACCTTCAATTCTAAATGATAGCTTTGCTGGGTAGAGCAATCTTGGTTGTAGTTCCATGTTTTTCATCACTTTGAATATTTCTTGCCA